AACAATATTCTAATCCGATTCGACTGGCAGCTAAGACTTTAAAAACAGATATTTGTTCAAAATTTTCAATCCTGGAAAATAATAGTTTATTTTGCATATCCACCTAAACCAGTCGCAGAAGAAAGTATTAAAAATGAATTACAAAATCTAAAATCGAAAATCGCTGATGAAGTTACAGATTCCCCAAATTCTGAGACAGCCAAAGAAATGAGAATGAATAATTCTTTTTACACAGCTTTAGAAAAACCTGACACATCTGGTTTGGCTTGTAAGCGCTGTTTAAACAACGATCCCACCATTATGCTAGATTCTAATTGTTTCTGGGAAATACTTGACATCCGCACTCGCATCCGCATGCGCGGATGTCAGCTGTTAGACATCCGCATCCGCATTCGCATCCGCGGATGTCTAAAATTCCACATTCGCAACATTCCTAGTATGTACCTATCTAGGCTTTCTACAGTAGTTTCTCTGTAAGGCATTCTTTGTTCGTTTCTCTGGATTCTGTTTATCCATGCGTTCTCCTTTCGTTCGAACGTAATTCTGCGGGTAAGGGCTTACCGTCAATGACATGCCCATGTTAAAATAATGCCTTCTTGGAGCGAAAGGGTAAGATTCCCATCGCCTAATTCGATTCCTTTTTAACTTCTGTGGCAATCGTGTTTTTGCTATTTTTGCTATTTCTACCCAACAAACATTTAGGTTAGATAACGATTAGAAACCGAATCGGATTCTAAGATAAGAATTCTATAAGGTAGAAGGTTAGAATACGATTAGATAACCTGTCGAGATTTATAACATTCTCAACAAAAGAGGGGACTTAGTTTCCGATATCGCGAAGAGGGTTAGATACAGGGATGAAAAAGTAGGTACTAGGTAGGTAGGTAGGTAATTGTACCTTTTTCCGACGTTTGCTGACCTAAAGGTACATTAGGTACAATCACTAGATTTTAGGTACAATCATCTTTTGATCAGATGAATTTTTATTCTTATTTTTTTCTGTGATAATATGGGAAAAAGTAGGGAAAAGTGGTCAAAAGGAAGAAAATAACAAAACCATATTATGTATTCTCTAAAACATTTTACATTGCATTTAGAACCGCCACAATGAAAAATTAACACTTTACTTAGCTATCCTAAAATTCGTAATTCTTTTTATATTTTTTATATTCGAAATTGGAATTAATTTCTTCAATAAAACGTAATTGCGCCCTAGACCGATGTACTACCCTCTCGAATGACGGTGTGAAATCTTCAAACGCAATTGTTGGAATGCATTTGTTAATCTATTGAAACACCTTTTCTTAAAATCTCAGACCTTTTACTCGATTTGATCAAATAAATTTAAGTGAAAGCTATGAAATTTTAAGTAAAAGCAATTGCTTAGTTTTTATGCATACGGACCAATGTGTTGAATGATGATTTTCAACTGCAATACTAGTGTTACATGGAAATAATGGGGCTCATTCATGGTCAAAATAAAGTTGACACTTAAGATAGTTACAGCTTTTTCACATCATTTCCAGTGGAATAGGTATCTGTGAAAAAAGCTGCAACTAACTTTCTTCCTATTAGGCATGCGCATATGGATGATTGTAGTACACACAGATGCGATCAACTAATTAGCAACGAAATTCAAAATTATATTGTTTGCACTTGCACTTATACTGTAATTGAATGGACTACAATACCCGAAAATTTTTTAAATATTCTAATTAAAAATTTGGATGACCATTACTTGAAGTTTGATACGTTTTTTTGCAATTTGTGCAAGCTTTTAAACTTTTATTATTGTGGTTCTTGTTACAGATTGAGTAATATTTTAAATCAAAATCATTAAAAATAAATAAACTTAATTTGCAAACAATATCATATTGAATTTCCTTGCTAATTAGTTGATCGCATCTGAATGTATGTATGTACATATGTACATATGTACCCAATACACATACTCCAAAATCATTTATTGATAACGTTCTTGCACATGCACATAATATTACATATATGTATGTACATACATACTAACTTTCTTCTTATTTGGGGCTGACAAACTTTAACTTAAGAGTCGACTTTATTTCGTCTACTAATATGCCCCAATAGTTTTGGAGTCAAATGAAAATGCATTTTCTACGCATACGTATGTACATGCTCCATTAATTGATAACGTTTTTGCATGCATATATATGTATGTGCATATTACTGCCAAAAAAACTACGAACATGCATATAAATGTACATATGTACAAATCACGGCAGCATACATACATATATATGCACATAATTACACGTATACTCAAATACAACAATAACTATTTCATTCATAAACGCATTCGCATATTTCTCAAGGTCAAGATCATTCCATTCATAAATACTACAGCAGCACATCTCCCCGCAAATTCATCACCATCAAGCGCAACTTTGTCAATCCGACACAAAAATTCTAAAATCTTAAAATGAAGAAATCTCGGCCAGCCAAGTGAAAAGTGGCAACTATTTCTCTATAACCAGTAAAATAAGTTATCTCGAATCTTGGCAATTTTTGGTAATTTTTGGTAATTTTTTACAAAACACTCTATTTCTCTGTTCCATACCAATATTTCAATCATTAACTAGTATTTTAAAGTGTCATTTTAATAAACATTAAATAAAAGTGTATGTTTTCTGCAGCAAAATACATTAATTTTTTTTTAATAAAATCAAAACTTGTAAAATCACAAACACAGATGTAACGTGGCAACTTAGCTCGTTTTCATATTTTTCGGTCCGAAATTGTAAAATTTTTGTCCATGCCGCGCCACATTTTTTACAGGTGGGCAATGTGCCTTGAACAAAATTTACATATATACAAAAAAATTATTTTATTTATTTTTTAATATTGAAAATTTCTATACCTCTAAGAGTTTATAAAAATATATTTATATATATCCACAGATTATTTTAAATTTTTTTCATCCGTAACCAAATCTTCAGTACCATAAAAAGATTCAAACACATCAAAGTACAAGCAATGCAATGTCCAAGTTAGTGCTACTCCACTGTACATGTGTATATGAATGTATGCATGTATGCGTGTAAAAAATGTCAATTCCAGTTGGTTTTTAACCCGTTTAGCGGACATAGTTTTTTTGCTTTCAGCTGGTTGCAACTGTTAATGAAGCACAATTTTTATGTTTAATCTTTATGAAAGTTACATGTATCGTCGAGAACATGGTTACATGCAGAATTTTAAATTAATTAATATTATTCACCATACAAAATGTACGAGTATTGCTTTATTAAATGCAAACTTATGCGAAAATCTAAATATTTCGCAAACTCGGGGTTAATGGTTTCGCGCACGTGCCAATCTGGTGCCGATTCGCAGAAATTGAATAATTTGTGTTGATGGCAGCGGCGAGGGGAAGGCGAAAGCAGACCAATCGTACATTTGTATGTACATATATGTATATTTACAAATGCATACATACTTACATTTTTACGCGTTTGCCTTTTTGGCAGAATGAAAAATTCGATGGCAGAAATAATTTCATGAAATAAAGTTTACAAATATGTACTTTTTAGATTTAGGTTTATTATTTAACACAAATAATACAATTAGTATAATATTTATATGAATTAAATTATATTAAACCTGTAAATAAAAAATAGCTGAAATAAAATAGAAGATTAAATTAAAATTTACTATAATTATTTATTAATATCGAATTTATTGGTAAATTTATTAAAAATATGTACATAAAATATAAAATTTTAATAAAAATGAGCATATATATCTGAAAAAAACGAAATTAATAAATTAGCTTCTGAAATAAAGAGAAAAATAAAGAAAATTTAGCTCATAAATATATGAGAAGATGACGGCAGACTTAGTTACTACCAAGAAATATGTATTTGGTAGCTTAAGCCCCCACACCCAGCGATCGGAATACAATCGCTTACGACAAGGTGTCTGCCACGTGGGGGAAAATTATGCACATGAGTAGCGAAGCTGCCACCCATCCAATGGCAACTTCTTACACGACTTAATTAGTATTAAGTTATTGAATTTTACCTGCCTTTTAAAACACAACTCAATCCATCGTGATTGAGTCGAAACTCCAGTGTTTTAAAAAACAGGCTCAAGTGCAAAGCTGTTAAAAAATTGAAAAAACTCTGAAAAGAAAGAAAAAAGCTGAAAATAGATAAGCCTGTGGAAAAATAGGAAAAATAAGATAAAATGCTGAAAGTAGAAAAACCTAAATAGATACGTACAAAAAGACGATGCTGAAATAAAAATATAGAGATATTTAATGAAACAACTGAACAGTGTTTTATTAACTTGTATTAATTACCGTCGAGAAACTTGAGCTCTCGCTTAAATAGCGAGCCCTGGCTTGCAATTATTTAAGTTTTTTCAACTTTTGATTACGTTTGTCCTCCCTGGCGCTATTTACCTCGTTTTTCAACATCCACTTTGAGTTTTTGTAAAGGAGAACCGTAACAAGAAAATCTAATAATTGCAAACGATGATCTCTACAATCCTCGGTATCCGAATACCATGTGGGAAATATTTCGTCGGTCTTTACTTTAATCGCGGATGTGATTTTACTTCGCACGTTTGCACTCTGAGCATATTTTGTGAAGAGCTGTCGGTACCATGACATTTGCAGGCGGAACATTTCGAAGACATAATCCTGCGGATTTACAAGCCTCAAGTCATCCTCCCCTTTGTAATTCTTCGCTCGGATTAAGGCTTCGGAATGCATTTGCAAATCGCTCTGCGTTTTTGTCATGGTTTCGGTGCAACGTTGACATTTCAATCTACATAGAATTTTCTGGTATATACCATAGCCAATGTAGTAACGTTGCACCGATACCTCAGCTTTTTCTTGGTCTTCAACAAAATTCTCGTCCGGCACATCAATTTCTTCAATAACGAGTTGCTCAGAGTGCGATTCGCTAACTACTTCTTCGAGATGACGATCTTCGGGGCCTAGGTTCCAGTCTAAGCTAATATCATCGTCATCTTCGCAGTTAGCGCCCGTTTTTTCGAACCGGTGCCGTAAGATTTTCATTGAAATTAATCGCGCCACAATATATTGCACGTCATGTGCAGAGGGGTGGGTATTAATACCCTGACTTGCTCGGATTCTATAAAAAAAGTTTTCTAACGCGTCTTGATTAAGTTTCCCCGGAAAAATAAAGTCAAGATTGACATGGCAGTCAAAGAGCTCCCTGCATAGCTTTTGCAACGAGCGGATTGTTATGCAAAAGCCTTCAATACATTTAACACGCGCACCGTTAGGGAGCTTCAATGACTGCAAAAACTCTATATGGCTGTTCAATCTTTCGTTTTTCGAAGTGTCCTCCCGTCGAATCGGACACTTATGGGGATTTTTAGACAACAAAATTTTGCCGTCAAGCTCGTCAAAAAGATCATTCATCTTTTTGACGAACTTTTGTGTGGGCTCAGCGCATTTGATCAAATATTCGTCATGGCCCAATAAATTTTCGTTAAGGGCCATGCTTATGCTAGCCGCTACCGAATTGCTCAGGACCTGAGTGGCGCGGGAAACACTCATTTTTTCAAAAAATTGCAAATAAATATGTGACTCGGTTAATTTTGGACAAATCTTAAAATGAGGATTTGATCTATCGATTTCATAAAGCTTTTTAATTACTTTAAAACTAGCTATGCCATCGGGAGTTTGAATATCATATTTCAACAAGGTATTACGGACGGACTTAATTAGATGGCAATAGTCATACAAACAATAAATTTTGGAATCTTCGTGCAAGAAATAAGAATTGCCTTCGGAAATTTGAAATTGATTGAAAATTGAAGTATTTGCGGGCCCTTGATCGCAAACAATTGCTTTTACATTTAAACCGATTTTTTTAAGTACACTAATATTCTTGTTCAAAATTTCCATAAGTGTTTTCGTATTAAGGCCACCTCTTGAGATGTAATACGAAAACACGTATTTCCACTTTGAACAAAGGCCTTTTATCATAAAGAAACAACATTTATTCCCTATTCTCATTTCACGCTGGCCTTCCCCAAGGTCCACAAACCCATCAATTAAATCTTTACTTTTATTATATGAGAGATCTTGTTTAATAATAATCTCATCAAATAACAGAACGCAAATGCGTTCTGTTGAAGACATTTTACTCACAACAGACTCTAAATTGCCAATGACATTGGCGTCGAACCCCGGGACAACATACCTTATGGGGCGCCAACGTAAAAGAGAAGTTTGGTGGGGTAGATTAAAACCCAAACTATCACGCATAAAGGTATAAGCTTTAGATGACATATAATTTACATTTTGCGCCAATGCCTTCTGGTCATCGCTATACCGGCAATTCTTTGGCGAAACAATCATTTTGGCAAAATTTATGGAATCAGAACTTGAACCTGGATGCGCGATTATTGCACTTTTAGAAAGCTCTCTAACTCGATTTATCAAATCCGCATTTTCGCGCTCAAGTTCTTTAATTCTTTCGTTTAATTTTAAAGCGTTGCTCTGGTAATAACGAGCAGCCTGAGCAAATCGTTCGTGACTGGCAGTGATGTCAGAGCCCACACTGGCGGCATTTCCTAAACTAGCCTGCCTTTTTTCCTCTAACAGGGAATATTTCTCGAACTCTTCTAGAGTTAAGACTCCTTCATCATCTACAGGAATTCTATCATAAGTTTTAGTGACAGGTGGGCAATGCCAATCAGAGCCGACACTAGGTGAGCGACTTCTAGTGTCGGGCTCCAAATTCAAACAGGGAACGGCTCTATTTAAAAGTTTAGTTTTAGTAACATTCTGTGGCTCAAAGTGGCGTTGACAAACAAATAGCCTGTCAGGGAGGGACGCATCTACATTGCAAGCCAGAGCCCAACTATTTCGAGCCTCCTCCTGTCGAGGAAACTCGAACAGGATCTGCTTCGATGTAGATACGCAGCAGCTCACGCAACAAGAGCGCATCCGCTTAGGCATCATGCAGCTGTGAGGGGGGTCATCATCATAGCCTAATCGGAAAAAAATTTCTTAATTTTCTTTGATTTATTAAAATATATAGTGAAATCTAAATTTGAAAATTGTATTATATCCCTAAATATCGAAAAAATTAAGAATAAATTAAATATTTCAGACTTAACACGGCGAGATGTTTACTAATTCTTGGGAAAATCAGACGATTTCAGATTTATATTTTTGTTCCAAAAAAAAATTCTAAGTTGAAAATATTTAAAAACTTAATTATTTCCATAAATATCGAAAATATGGAAAATAATTCTTAAATAGTTTCGGCTTAGTTCATCGAGATCTTTACTAATTGCTGGAAAAATTCGACGTTTTCGAATTTTTAGTATTTTTTCAAAAAAAATTCCAAGTCGAAAATAATGAAAAACTGAAATATTTCCATAAATATCGAAAATATAGAAAACATTCATATAGACTTTCGACTTTTTTTAGGGAGATCTTTATAAAAAAATGTTAAATAAATCTATTTACAGTTTTTGGGTTTTCTTTCAAAAAATTCTAAGTCCAAAAGATTTAAAAACTTAATTATTTCCATAAATATCGAAAATATGGAAAATAATTCTAAAATAGTTTCGGCTTAGTTCAGAGATCTTTACTAATTACTGGAAAAATTCGACGTTTTCGAATTTTTAGTATTTTTTCAAAAAAAATTCCAAGTCGAAAATAATGAAAAACTGAAATATTTCCATAAATATCGAAAATATAGAAAACATTCATATAGACTTTCGACTTTTTTTAGGGAGATCTTTATAAAAAAATGTTAAATAAATCTATTTACAGTTTTTGGGTTTTCTTTCAAAAAATTCTAAGTCCAAAAGATTTAAAAACTTAATTATTTCCATAAATATCGAAAATATGGAAAATAATTCTAAAATAGTTTCGGCTTAGTTCATCGAGATCTTTACTAATTGCTGGAAAAATCCGACGTTTTCGAATTTTTAGTATTTTTTCAAAAAAAA